CATACATTCATACATACTCACACTTATACATATAAAGTGATAAAGCAAGTATTACAACGTTTTCTTTGAGATTTTAATACATCATCTTTTTTTGACATCACTTTGAACACTATCAATCAATATTACTGCTCATATTAATCTCCTTTTTAAACATTAATTTTAAAAGAATCATCAATTTTCACTTTAAACTATTTTTTACTTTAAATCATTCATATTTTTACCACATCACTTCCATCATTAAAAATAATTAAATTAAACTTCTTTTAAAATTAAAACAATTTTATTATTTAATAGCAGTAAATATTGATTTATTTTAAAGACAATAATTAATTAACACTAATAAATAATAAGCGAAGCATCTTCAATTTAGTTAATTGATTATAAAGAATATTTGAAAAAAGAAAAAATATTTATTAATAATGATTTTTATGAAAATATTTTTAACTAAATTTAAGAATTATGGTTCTTTTTAATCATAAATAAAATAATTATAATAAACTTTTGTATTCGGACAAAGGAAATTTATTTATATATCTCATAAGAAAAACCATATTAGTTAAAATCATTAAAAATATTAATTCAATTAATTTTATAAAAAATATTTATTTTAATTCAGAAAAATACTTTATTTATTTTTATTTTGATTTCAATAAAACTATTTTCATCAAAATTAAAAAATTTTAGTCTAAAAAATTGATAATAATATATATATTACCCATAATTAATATAATTAATGACAATATACAGTATTTCAATTTCTATGAACATATTTTTACTAAATTTAAGAAACTTTATTTATATAAACAAAATTAAGTATTTAAAATTTTAAAATTTAAAGAATAGAAATTTAAAAATTATCATAGAAAATAGAATTAAAATCATGATAAAGATAATCAATTCAGTTACTTACTTATGTTGGAAAAACTAAATATTATTTATTTATTTATTTTTTTTTTTTGATTTCAATAAAAATATTTTTTACAAAATTCAAGAATTTTAATATTTGTTAAACATAAAATAAGGAATTAAAATTTTATTTAATATTTGAAGAAAAAAAGTTGAAATATTATAAAAGAGAAATTTATTCTTAAAATTTACAAAAATGAGTAAGAAATTATAGTAAAATTAGTAAACAATTAATTAATTATTAACTAAAAATTATGTTTATTAAGTTCTTTCAAAGGTGTTTTTTAGATTTTTTTCTTTTGTTCATCTTTTTCATAAAGTTATAATTAAATTCTTCATCTTCAATTTTAGATGGCTTTTGATATAACCTTGTATCGATACTTTTAAGCTTTGCAAAACCTACAGTTTTATCTTCACGGTTGAATAAAGTGTAATACTTAGACATAAAAATATCACCAAGGATCCACATAGGACCAACTAAATATTTTAATTTAAGATAAATTAATTTCACTAATTAAGCAATCAATCTATTAATTAC